CGTCCGTTTGTTGTCAATAAGTATGGATTTGCCGTTAACATTACTGTTCGTAAGGTAATACATTCGTGATGAGCTTATAATATGCATGATTATTATAATTTATCAGTATGACTACATGTAGCACAGCGGCTAGTCTCCTTGTAAGTCAAAGAAACGGTTATGATATGTCGAAACGAAGGGCATGATTTTAGCACGTAACTTGTTTGTTGTGATAGAATCGTGTATTTACGGTTGTAAATAAACCGGACACACTGTTATACTGGAGCGATCTTTTGCTTAACGTGACTAGTAGTAAATCACTTGCTAGTAGTAGTAGTACTAGTACGTTTCCCGCAGCCAGACTATACTCAAACACTGAGTGAGATAGAAAGGACTTGCTCGGGTGTAAGCTACTCTCTTGGGGTGCCTAAAGTGGATTTGCGCCTTTCTCTCCTGGTCACTCTCCAGTCCAGTTAACCCAATCAGGCTGTGTGACTAACGTCAATATACACACAATAGGGTCTCATAACCCTAGCGCCGCTACAGTCCAGTAACACATTACACTACAGGGAGTCCCCGGGTTACGAACGTCCGACTTACGAACACCCATAGTTACGAACCGACCTCCCATTATAAGCCTATGAATAGTATTATATTACAAATTCGAGTTACATACAATGCCAATGGTTCGTAATAACGAACGGGCGAACTACTTTGCATCAAAACATTGCGTGTTTTCAGCGCTTCATTGTCTCACACGTAAACACTGTGTTGCATATGTTATATTACTGTATACTAAGACAAACATTTGGCTAACTGACGCTAGATACGAACCGTACGTACCTGTTTCGTCTTACATACAAATTCGACTTAAAGGCTGTTTTAGGAACGGAACACGTTCGTAACCCGGGGACTCCCTGTATACCGTAACCCAAACAACAGATCAATGATAGTTTGGTGCCCAGGGTCACAGGCACTTGGGACAGAGTCAGTAATAACTGAAAATAATATGAATGCACATTCACAAATACTACCCCTCAATTACACTTCCACTGTTGTGTCAGTGTATATAAACTTGCTTTCACAAAAACTAATGCAGAACTAGCCGCTCCCGCACTCGCCGCTGCGAGTGTGCTGTGTCGCCATTATAATGATGATATATATATAGAAGATGGTAGGAAACTCCGCCGCATGATTTTCGACGATCACTCTTCACTTCTTTCACATTTCTCAAATTTTTCACGCACATACGACCTCCATTTTTGGCTAGTTCTGCCCTCTATAGTCCACTGAACACAACTGTGTAACTACCGTCGCCGAGAAGTGCAACAGTTCTTTGTAATGTGACTTCAAACTCAGAAGTTTTGCGGCTCTTGCCGATTCTGCAGAAATATATATCGTTCACGAGTCCGAATGGCCCCCGCGGGCGACCGCCGCAGAGCGTGATTGGCTGCAGGCAGATCGCGTCATCTCTAGTTGTCTCCAATCGCGCTCCGCGGCGCCCGACGCGGGGCCATAATAATAATAATAATAATAATAATCTATACGGTTCACGAACCCCCCGATCTTCTCGACCGTTCACGAACTCTCTCCCTTCCGCAGGTGAACACCCGCCCTTCCCCGACGCGCGCCATGAAGAGACTCTTCCGGTTCAAATCGTCGAAGTTGAAACCCGGCGAGGGCGCCACCGCGGCGGCGACGGACGACGCGCAGTCGGTGGGGTCGGTGGGGTCGGGCCGCGACCTCGCGGGGTCGGGGTCGACGAGGCAGTATCGCGTCGACGCGAAGGCGAAGGACTTCAGCAAGCTTCACAAGGCGGCGTGGAACAACGACGCGGAGAAGGCGAGAACTCACGCGAAGAAGCTGGATATTAACCTGCTGGACAAGGAGTACAGGTGAGCGGGGCGCGGGGCGCGGGGAAGGAGAAGGGGCGCGCGTCATATGGGTACACAGTGGCGGATCTACGGGGGGGGTTTTGGGGGTTTAAAACCTAGTTAAAACCTAGATCCGCCCCTGGGTACAGGACAGGGAAGCATATGTAACATAGACACAGGATAGATATATAATTTCATCAAAGGGTAGGTGCAGGCTGGGGAGGTGCAGGCTAGAGAGGTGCAGGCTGGGGAGGTGCAGGCTAGAGA